GAGACCGAGGGCCGGGAGGCACTGCAGCGCACCGTCTGGGGCTGACCCCTCGCAGCTGCAGGAAGTACCTTCCCTTTTGGGTCTTTCCCTTGGTTTTCGTCTTCCTTCATTTTTAATCTGTAGCCCTTCCCTCTTCAGAGGAATGGAAGGTGCTGACTTGACTAATTCTCGATGGAGAAACCCCTACTTTGTAGGTAACCCTGTGTGTGTTGGAGGAGGGGGTCTAGCTTTCCCTAAAACATCCATCAATTTGTTTTTCTAACACCCTCCATTCATTTATCTGATTGCAAAAAGGATACACGCTTATGGGAGAGAATTTGAGACAGCGGTGGGACATGGCAGCGTCGGGCATTGGGGGTGGCATCTCTGCTTCCTTAGCCCACCCCGAGCACATGTAGGGGAGCCACGGAAGAAGCAGGGGGCAGGGGAACCACTCCCACGTGCCCAGAGTCACTCCCATGCTCTCTGAGGTTGCCCCATGCCACGCCCACCTGCCCCCTTCTGCTTGTTTCATCTAATTTCCTCCAGCAACCCTACCTCAGTTTACCCGCTCCCCAGCCTCCTGATGGTTGTGCCCACCAGTTACCGAGCGCCCCCCAACCCCAGTCCTGTGTTTTCCCCATGCCTAGCTCCCCACAGAGAGTCTGAGTTGGGCCTGGGAGCCCCAAGCCATTCCAGTTTCCAGGTTGGTCCTGGGGCCTGGGGAAACTGCCCCTGCCAGCTGGGGCCTGACCTGGCTGATGGGCACCCAGGAGCAGTGGAGAGAAGGGTGGTGGGCTTTTCCTTTTCCTTCTAGGGGCTGGGAAGTCAGGCAAGACCCACCTCCAGGCTCAGTGCTGGGCCTCCTGCCACATCTGGAGCTGGGGGCCGAACAGGACTTAGAGCTCAGCCTGTGTCTGAATGACCGTAGCCTTGGGCAGGATCCCGCACTGAAGGCTTGGACATCCTCGGGCCCTACCCGTCCACCTCCCTCTGCAGATAGGAGGGGCTGCGGGAGGGGCCAGCAGCGGAGCGGAGGTCAGCAACGATGGAACACTCCTCCCTCCGGCCCTGGAGGACATCCGACCCCGAGCCCTGGTCTGTGTTCAGCAAAGGTTCCCGAGACAGACATGGTGCCCGCACACGCCTGGCCTCTGAGCTGAGGGTTCCGCCCAGCCAAGAGGCCACGCCACCCGGGAAGGCGGACGTGCTCAGCATCAGCCAGGAGGTGGCCCCTCTGCTCCCTCCCATTCCCTGGTGGAGGCAGCAGCTGCCACCCACAGTGCCCGCCTCAGCCACTGTCCCCATGTGCCCCTCCTGGCCCCCTCCTGGGAGGTGTTCTGGCTGCCTTGGCTGAGGCCTGGTGAACCCTCACACGACCTCACAAGGTGGCAGGGCAGGGGGTGCACTGAAGAGGCTGTTCCCACCTCTCCTGAGCTACAGGCACCCAACTCCCCTCCCCCAGCCTCCCCTCCACTCCACACCAGCAGCCCAGAAACTCAGCTCCTCCCCAACACACTCCTCCTCTTCCCAGGTCCTTCTTTGATTACAAATGTAAGGACAGGCACAGGGAACTTCTCTGCTCCCCCATCCTGTGGGGACCCCAGTCACTGCCTCCATGGGTCACACCTGGGCCTCAGTTTCCCCATCTCCTTGTGGACAAGGAGGGTGAGAAAGTGCTCCATGAGTGGGTGGGGGGTGGTTACTGGGGAAGGCTGGCTGCACACAGGAGATACCCAGCATCAGCCTCCGCTCCAGGGACCTGCTGTGGGCTGACCGCAGCCATCCTGAAGGCCCAGCTCATGCCCCCACTTGGCAGAAAGGGATATTGAGGCACAGAGAGTCAGGCCCAGGGGTCACGCAGCTCATAACCGGAGCCGCAGCAGGCCCACCACCTTTGGCTCCGCCATTTCAGCTGTGACTGAGTGGACAAGGCTCTGGCTGTGCCCCCGGGCACTGTAAAGGGCACTCACTAGATGTCTGACCAGGCTGGCCCCTCTCAGGGGCTGTGCTCTACCCACAGCCGGAGGGGACAAGGGAGCCTGAATTTTACTTGGAAACCCAGCCTGCTAGCCCTCCCTGGGCTCCTCGTGAGCCCCAAGTCCCTGTGTGAGCCCCAAGCCCTGGCTGGCAGGATGCCCTTGGATGGCCCTGGGCCCCTGTGCCTCGGCTGGCTTATGAGTTCTCTGCTGTTCTTTCTCCAGCCACACATCCTGGACCACCCCAACTCCTTGTTGGTTCTGCCCACAGGAAAGTGGGTTTCAAGACCCTTGGGCCACTCCATTTCTGGAGTCTTGGGAGGATGTGTGAGGGCACTGGCCACAGGCGCTGGCTGGCTCCTGGGGTGCCCAGCCCCAGCCCCCTACCCCTGGCCTTGGTGCTACAGCTCCCCTCAACCCCCAGGCTCCTTCTGTGAGACCAGCCCCATCAACAACAAAGTTCCCAGGCCTGTGCTCCTCGGCAGAGGACAGACTCCCCGGCCACTGGGAGGTGACCTCTGGGGACAGGCCGCACCTCTTCCAGCGGCTTTCCCAAGAGCTGGGAGGGGGCTGGCTGGGGGAAGGGGCGAGGTGGGGCGGAGGGGGTTCCAGAGAGGAACTTCAGGTGGAAGAACGCTTAGGGAGTGTCCGGGGAGCAGGTGGCGCCTAGAGCTGGGCATGGCCTGGAGCCGCCGGCCACTCTCACCCTTCCCGTGTCTGGGTCCTGCGCTCGCAGATGGGCTCGTGGGGGCTGGCCCGGTCTGGATGCTGGATAGGCTGGAGGTGGGAGCCTGTTCATTCCGGAAGGGGTGGGGGCTGGAGGCTCGGGGTGAGGGGGCGAAATGGTCCCTGGGGGTCACGTGACCCTGGCCCTGGACTCGGCGGCCGGAGCCGGTGCAGAGGGAGAGGAGGCGCGGAGTGGGGACGCGCGCGCCTTAGACAAAGGCTCCGACAGGTCCCCTTGCCCCAGCCGGT